TCTTGGGCTCCAAGTGGTAGCCAGTTTCACCCTCCATGACCCTCAGATCGCTCACGATTTCAGTGCAGCGCGGCTTTGACGACTCCGAGCGCCAGAACTTCGCCGATACGCGGCGTGGCGTACGCACTGCGCGCTTAGCGATCGGCCGCTGATCGGGTCCTGGGTGACGGAGGGGCGGCGCCGGCGCTCCATGTAGGCATCAAAAGAAAGCAGAGTGTTTTTGACGCATCTCCCTCGATTATGCAGCCTGCTTCTGTTGCAAGGACAGTGTGTAGATGTGCTTCATGTCTTGATCATGTCCATGTGTTCTCCTCTTGAGTGAAGCCGTCCATGAAGAACCAGGATGTTCTGTGTATAGAACATGCAATCTGTGTCTGAAGAAGTGCTTTTCAGGCTGCCAGCAGGTGTTCTGCTGCGACCACGGTGTGACCACGGCGCCATCACGGACCACTGCACACGAGGTGGAAGTCGCAAATCCTCCAGGGAGGGGCCCGTGGGCGCAAGCATGGCATGTGACGAGGTGTGCCCTTTCCCCTTTCGCCTCGCTTCATGGCCTCTTGAGAGGGACACCAGCGGCGTCCACGGCCTTTCACGGAGCAGGGCCGGCTTTGGGCTTTAGATCGAAACTGGTGACTTTCTTGAACTCGCCTTGAGCTCTCCGTGAGAAGTTCCGGTGCGCTCACGAGAATGGGCTCCTCGACACTTCGGCACACGCGGGGCGCTCTCGAGCTCTGGTTGGGCTCCTTTGTCCAAGCGTCGAGCCGGAAGGAGAGGCTGCCACGTGCCAAGTCCACCTGCGCTCGCCCCGCCCCGCCCCCCGGAAGCCCGGAAGGGCGCAATTGCAGTCTCACTGAACACCACAGGCCCTGCCTCCAGGAAGGCGCGCCGCGGGCCCTGCTGGAGGTCCCAGCCCGGCGCGCCGGTCCACCAGTCATCTGCACGTTTTTGACAGAAACCACAGAGAAGAGAGCCACTTCCCTCCCTGCCACTTCCCCCCCCGTTACACTTGCTATGCATGACTGACACAGCTGCCACGTGGTGTGCTGCCTGCACGACGACAGAGACAGTGATCACCGGAAGAGCTCACCTGCAGGGCTTCGCTCCCCCCNNCCCCCCCCCCCCCCCCCCCCTCTTTCACATGGAAAAAGAGCTGCCGCCGGCTGCTGCTGCCGCCCAGCCGCCCGGCCTCGATGGGCATCGTCGCCTGCAGCACAGAGCGCGCGGCGATGTTCGAAGCCGACGGCGCAGCAGCGCGCAGCAGAGCGCAGCAGCAACGCGTGTGTGGATCCCATGAACGAAGGCTCTTGCATGGACTCGCAAACCGCGAGTTTGCCCTGGAATTCCAAGCACCAGAGATTGGCAAGGGGTTTGCACCTGAATGTCTCCGCAGGACGTCCAGCATACGGCGTCCAGCAAAGGCGTGAAGACCTGAAGCAAGCGAACGGCGAGAACACGACGCTGAAGCAAAGAGGACCTCGACAAGATTACCAGTAGTTCCGTGCAATAATGAACATCAAGCCCGATTCGTTGAAATTCACATTCGCAAAGTGTCCAGATGCTGATGTCAACAGCCCAGAACCCGGTTGTAACAGACCACTGTCGCGGCATCCTTCCAAATCTTGCAGATCTCGGCGAGGTCCGGAATGCTGCCTAGCCTTCCCCTGAAAGCATGCCGTATGGCTCTATGGAGTCATCATCACAGTGTTATATGTTACTTTGTTTCATAGGCAAGGAAAGTTGGCACGCTTAAGTCAACACGTGCACATGCCCTTTGTGAGGGGGCTTGCCATAAGGGCTGGCAGCCTCAGGTGGGAGCAAAGAGACTCCCGAAGAGGAAAGGAATGCTCAGCAGAGCCCCTCTCGGATCCTCGCAGAGAGCTTGGACTCAGCGCCTTCCTGAAGGGCATCCGCCTGAGCGCACTTCGGTCAGCGCGCAGGCCGAGCGCGCGCCTCTTTTTGGCCCTTTCCTTCGCCCCCCATCAGGGCCGCCCATCCGCACGCCTCGTCAGCTCCGACCCTGGCGATACCCACCTGCCAAGGCCGCTCTGCGGCCCCTTCTCCTCTTCTCCTCCCGTCCTGGGCAAACTTCTCCTCCTTGGGAAGACCCGTCACCTGCAGTGCCGCCGCAGACGCAGACGCAGTCGCAGTCACGTCGTCACGTCGCATCACTTCGCTCCGAGCTCTCTCCGAGCTCTCTCCGGGCTCTCTTCGGAGCCTCGAAGACCAGGCGGCTGCTCCGCCTGACAGCGGAGGCTCAGCGGAAAGAGACCGGCCGCTCAAACCCTCTCAGGCTGTGGCCCTGCTGGCAAAGCGACCCCAAGGCCGCTGCACTCGGGAAAAGCACCTCAGCATATCTCGAGAAGCCCCCCTCTTAGCCCTCCTTTCTCTCTCTCTCTCTCTCTGAATTTGACAAGGCATGTGGCGTCTCATTTCGCCTTTCGAAGATCCGCTCATGCTTCCCCAGAGACTCGAACTCGAATTAGCGTGCAGCCCCGCTGCGGCTCAGAACTGCTTTTGCGCCTGAGAAAAAGGGAGTTTTTTTTTTGTGGAGGGGGGGCCCTCTTAGGCAGCTGAGTTGGCAGCCACTCAGCGGCGCGAAGCCGTCAAGGCCTCGAAGCTGGCAGCAGCCTCGTCTGCCTCCGCGGCCGAATCGCAGTCGCAGTCGCGGAAGTGTCGCCTTAAGCGCATCGTCTAAACTTTATAAACCGCGCGACAGGTGCTTGGCTCAAACTTCGTGTAGCTTCCTTCCTCCTGTAGGTAGGTCCACATTGGTGTTGGCAAGCCCCAGGCGTGGCTTTTAAAGCCCGCGCAGTGCTACTGCTAGTGTGTGATCGGAGGAGAATTGCTGATACTATCTCATCGGTGACGGACCAACTGCGGATACAGCAGACTTGCTGCCATTCACTTGGGTGCATACATCAGTTGGTGCCTTATCTTCTGCTTCTACTGGCTTGGTTCAGTGCTTGAGGGACCGGTGCTTCAGAGCGCGCAACAAGCAGGACTATTTCGTCATTGCCAACACGTTCCGTGTGTGCAAAGCACAGGGAGACTTCCAGACATCGAAGACAAAGAAGGTCTCGGACTCGGGCCCGAACCGTGTTGAGACCAGCCAAAATAGAGCAAACAATGGCGAACCGGAGTGCTTGGAACGCCAGCAAAGTCAGCTGGAAGTGCTGCTATTGCCGACTGTTGGTAAAAGCGGGGGTCGGCATATTGCAGTCATTGTGGAACTACGGCACGAACCGGAAAAGGCCGATTGGGGTGGGTGGTACGAAGGGACCGCTTACACTCAACAATCTCCACAGGTTCCCTGGGAAGGACAACAGTGGACCCGAGGAGGCATCCTGCCGCTCCGAAAGAATGCCAAGGGTGCATTCGGACAAGGCAAAAGCCAGATGGTGGCGCCGGACGTCCAAGACTTGCCGCATGCCCCCAAGCCAGGGAGTCTCAATGCAGCTCCGAAAGCAGCGGGAACATCTACAGGTTCCAGTTCCGATGCATTACTCATTGCGCTCCTGCCGCATCTGCCACAAGACGGACTTCCGTCAGCAATCCAGGCTCAGATCGGCACCTTCACGCAAAGCAACATTGCATTGAAAGGGAAGCAATTGCATGCACTGGTAGCACAAAAAAGCCGGGCCAAGAAGGAGATCAACAAGATACAGCTTCAACGCGACAAGTACGAGCAGGGATGGGCCAAGTACGTTGCCCAGATGAGCGAGCTCTTTACGCAACAGTTGACACATCACGAAGAAGTCATGCAACAGTTCGATCAGGCCGAGCAACAGTGGACAATGCAATTAGAAAGCACGATGCAGGAGCTTCAAGAAAAGGCTTCTGGACACGTGCGTGCCAAAGAGGACGAGGACGAAGACGACGTGGAAGCGATGGAGGACGATCGGAATCCCAGTGCAGAAGCAGTAGCAGCAGAAGCAGCAAAGGCGAAAGCACGACGGGAAGATCAAACCAGCAAAAATTGGGAGCTAGAAGAGGCACTGCGAAAAGCCAAACAGGCTGCAGAAGCTTCGACAAGCGAAACGGTTCCAGAACGCCAAGGCGCGGTCAACAAACCATCGTAGTAGACTCGCCAGAAGCAGAGAAACCAGGTGGGATTTTGGTCCCTCCATGAGCCCGCATGCGAGCCGCAAGGGATCATGCGGGCATGCTCCCAGCTTGATATCCATGCTTCATAGCGTGCAGCTTGCACCAGATTATGTGTCTGAAGGGCTGGCACGACCCCTGCTGGCGTGCAATCTTGAGTATGAAGTCGAGCTGGAGGGTGCCAATTCTACAGGATCCGCGCATGTGTGACTGGACAGGCACTTTGCCTGTCTTGGTGGCCGCGTCGACATCCAACAATGATGACAAATACACACAAAACCCGATGTACAGTGAAAAGGCGGGTACAAAAGTGACTGAGAGCAACAACATGAGTATGAACATCGGTAGTCTCAACGGCTGCCTAAAGAGAAGCTGTCATGCAAGGAAACCACACCTTCATGTACAGTTTTATAGGGCAAGCGTGGAGGACAAGAACCAGTGCGGAATCCACCATGCCGGTTTTGAACAGGAATATGGTCCTGTTGATTTTTGGACGCTTGGATCATGCATCCGAGCAGCAGAACATATTTCCATGGAGGCCGGGTCAGACTGTGATCGTTCAGAGCACAGACTTGATGACAGTCCGGTTCAGACAAGCCACAGGCCCAGGCCGATATGTCTATCTGAGTTGGTCGAAGAACCAACCAAGTATGCATGTGGCGTTGTGCCAGACATGTATGACATGGTGATGCAAGGACATTCACTCCATGAATTATGCATAGAAACTGACTTCATTGTGGATCTTCAGCACAGTGTGCGGAGTCATGTTGAAGAATGCATGCCAATTGTTGTTGAGCAGGTAGGCGATGAACATGTCATCCACTGTTACACTGACGGGTCATTCGATGAAGTTCAACAAAGTGGGGCTTGGGTGGTTGCTTGCGTTGTCGAACAAGATTGTAGACAGACTTGGGTTGGTTACATGTCGGCATGTTGTGATGACTGCGGACGAGCTGTTTCGAACAATTGCACGGGTACTTTCGTCACCGAGTGCCTTGCCATCGTTCATGCTCTTTTGATTGGCTTGGGTACGGGACTCGATGTGGTCATTCACTATGTGCTGCTAGTGTCACGCAGATGCTTGCAGCTTGCGAACACCCAGCTGCGCGGGCAGCAGCTGCGATTGCCCACGTCTATATGATACAGCAAGGACATCTTTGTTTTGTCCATGAGAAAGCACATGCAGGACATACATGGAACGAGGTTGCTGACGCCATTGCGAAAGGGCTTTGAAACGACATGCTCAACCACCCGCTGGGGATGCTGTCGGAGATGCCATTCAAGATGGCATGATACCTTGGTTGTGGACCTCCATGCTTGGCTTGCAGGATGATCCCAGATGGCCACATGTCAAGCCAGATGATGGTATTGTTGGTGAGCGCATCGGGATGCCCTTTTCAGATCATGACGTGCTGAGGTGTGAGCAGGGCGTGGATGAAAGTGATGCTAAAGCGGTGACACATCAAGACATGCAATATACGGAGCTCAGGCTGTTGACGTACAATGCTCTGACGATAAAGGAGCCAGCTTATCAAGAGGCCGTTGCCCGCATGCTGGACACAAAGACAGTCACATTCGCAGGGTTTCAAGAAGCAAGGTGCGCGGTTGATGAAGTGAAACGAGCACATGGATACACAATCTTTGCATCTGCTGCCATCGAGGGGCAATGTTGATGCCAGCTTTGGATAAAACAAACAGAACATGTCAATGTCGACAGGTTGCCGGGAAGTTGGCTTCGCCATGCATGCTATGTGTGCTTGGTTCCTTTGGAACATGAAAGTTGCATTGATTGTGTGCCATTCGCCCCACTCAGGACATCAAGAGGAGACTCTTGATGCTTGGTGGTCGGGTCTTCGTTCCCTGCTAATGAGCCTTGATTCTCACACTAGCCCCATCGTTCTCATGGATGGAAATGCCAGGTTCGAATGCGATGCCAACGACAAACAAAAACCAATCAACAGAAACGGGAGGCACCTTGAGTGGCTCCTGATCGACTTCGAGCTTGCGTGCACAAGACCACCTGACGTCTTTGGGCGCAAGGTGGTGACGTGGATCAGCCCAAAGCTTGCCGAAAGCATGCTTGATCATGTCTTGCTGCCGCAAGCATGGGAAGCAAACTTCGCCACTTTAGGGGAGTCTGTCGAGGCCGTTACGTTGCATTCTGGCAGAGATCATGCTCCGTTGTTGGCGATGGTCGCTGTAGAGACGCGGAATCCAAGGGTCGAAGTGAAGGCCAGGCTGATAGAGCGGCCATGAAGGACCCTTGCAAAAGAAGCAAGCTCATTTCAATTATGCAGTCTGCTCCGAAAGTTCCGTGGGCTGTGGATGCTGACACGCATGTCAAGATGGTTCATCAACACATGGTTGAGCTTCACTTGCATTTCCCAGCTTTCAAAAGCAGACCCAAAAATCATTTGTCTCCGACTCCGCTCGGATGTTGATCAGGATGAGGCATGGGCTTCGCAAAACATTGCAGCATATGCACCAAGGCATACGTAAAGTCATGATCGAGGAGGTTTTCAAGGCATGGAGACAAGGATCAGCGAGAAACACACAGCTTGTGTCATTTGCTCGTAGGATGAACGTTGTTCGAACGGTGGTTCGGATCAGAGGTGTTTCGCGGAAGCTTCGCAGAGAGCTTGACAAAGGCAGGGTGGAGTTTGTGACAAAGGTGCGGGACGCATCGCTGGGTTGCTTCGAGGCATCCTTAAATGTGGCCGGAAGTTTAGACCACCCAAGACTGCCCCGTTGTTGAAGACTGAAAGCGGTGAATGGGAAACTGATCCCTGCAAAACTACACGGATCTTCGGAGACCATTTCGCCAAGTCAGAACACGGGAGCCGTGCTATTGACATGGAGATTGAAGCGAATGTTGTGCCGGTGCCAATCTCAAGTACATCTGCGATAGAGGATCTCCAACACCTCCCTTCTGAGTCATCGATCTTGCCCTACAGGCAGATGCCAGCTGGCAAAGCGACAGCATTCAGCGGGATACCATCCGAAGCACTTAGTGCTGTGGCACGCAAGCTGCCGATGTGTTTCATCCGGTGCTCATGAAAATCACCATCGGAGGAGTTGCACCTCAAGCATGGCGAAGAGTTCTCATTACCACCACCCCGAAACCTTCACGTGGAATAGGCACTCAGAAAGCTTGGCGGTCGGTTGCCCTGCGCGAAGTCAGCATGAAAGGCATTGCGAAGGCTGTCCGTGCTAAGTTGGTCGAATTTCTTGCTCCTCACTTCCGGCAGGCCCAAGGTGGATCCAGGCAAGGCTCATCGCTTGATTATCCGGTGGCCCTCTCGAAAAGTCATGTTCGGAGGCTAAGACAGCAACGATGTTCAGGCGCCATCATCTTCGTTGACGGTGTTGCAGCATTTTATGCTGTGATACGGCAGTATCTCTATGACGATGAAGTCAATCTTCGACATATTGATCGCGTACTTGCTATCATTGATATGTTGAGCCCATGTGAAGAAACCAGGGAGACAATGTTTGCTTTGCTTACCATCATGACCACCCTTCAGTCAACCTCCTTCTGCATGCAGGGATTACAAGGGTGCACATGGAAAACCCAAACAGGGACTCTGCTTGGAGCCCCATTGGCAGATATCCTCTTCTCAGGAATTTTCGGTAGGTGTATTGCTGAAGTTGAGCGATTCCTGCCACAAGTTGCTGATGAGCGTGTGCATGCACCTCCAGTGCCGACGTGGGTTGACGATGCTGCGGTGATGGCTTCCTCGCGAAGTCTTTGCCAACTTGTGCCCAGGATACGCGACACTGTGAGATGTGTACATCATGCCCTTGAGGCCCTTGAGTCAGTTGGGATCAAGATCAACTTTGAAGATAAGAAGTCGGAGGTTGTTGTCTTTGCGGGCAAAAACAGTCAGGCGCAAGCCAGGCAGTGGCTCACCGGTAATAAGCCCTCCATTGATGTTGAGCTTGGCAATGGTGACAACATTCACATCGCGATTGTTGAAGCATACACGCACTTGGGCAGTATCATACATCATAGCGCTGCCGATGACAAGGATCTTGAACACCGGAAATCTCTTGCGTCGCATATGTATGATAACTTGCACAAGAAGCTTCTGCACAATGACCAGCTGACAGTTTCTGAGCGCAAAAACCTCATCCATTCGATGGCTGAGAGGAAACTTCTACACGGATCGGGCCACTCCCCGTATACATAGCAAAACACGAGTGTTCGATTCAGGTCATTCGACGATCCAAAAGGTCACACCACTGTCGTGACAGTGGGGTCCCCGTACACGTAACAACACACGAGTGTTCGATTCAGCCGACTGGCGTTACGGTCACGGAACAAAACACGAGTGCTCGATTCAGGTCATTCGACGACCCATGCATGGGTCACACCATTGACTGGCGTTACGGACGTGGGGTCCCCGCACACGTGCCAACACACGTGTTCGAATCAGGTCAGTGGACGATCCACAGGGGCACACCACTGGCTGGCGTTAAGGTCCTGCGATCCCCGGGTTGGGCACTCCAGATTCTCACGGTGGTCTTGCACACTCCAGGGAGTCTCACGGTAGTCTCTGGGGTTGGGCACTCCAGGGAGTCTCACGGTAGGTTGGGCTCACGGTAGTCTCTGGGTTCTGTGACAAGGCTCAGAAACCATCCTTGACGTGAGCTCACAGACCCAGGGCGTAACCTGAACTCCCTCAAAAGACTTTCCACACTGAAAGCGCAACAAGGCAGAGGAGCTCCGCCCGAGAAAGAGCCCGCAGCATGGTTCCCGATTTTCTGGACTACGCAGCAGCGCCGCACTGTCTTGGGAGCCAGAGTGGCCCTTGCTTAAGAGGCTCTGCAACTTCTCAGCACTTCAGCTGCGCTCTGCTGCGACGTTTCAGGCGCCCTTGTGCCGGGCAACTGCGCTGTTTTGGGGGGACGCGGCAGAGCAGAAGAATACACGGCGGGCCTCTCCAGGGTCCAGTGGCTCCTCGCAGTCGCGGCGCCTCGGAGCAGCGTTTCGGAAGGCGGTGCCTTTTCCCTGACCTGAGTCGCTGAGCTGAGCGGCGCCGGTGCGAGGCCAAGAAGGCGCTCCGGAGCCTCGAAGGGCGATCGCGGCGATCGCGGGGGCCGGCGCGCAAAGAGCTCTGAGCCCTCCGTCTCTGCGCCTCTTCACCAAGTCCAGGTACCTCCACTGCGCTGCGGCTGCGCTGGAGTGCCAGTCCGAGTCCGGTCCTGCTGCTTTCGGCCGCCAGGCATTCGGCGACCGTGGAGGCGGATGCGGCGGAGGATGCACCGGAGACCTGGCGCTAACCGCTCATCCCGACTCCAGGCTCCACTCTCTTCCTGGGCTGGCCACATCTGCCCACGTGCACCCGCCCCCAAAATCTCGAACCAGCCGCCTACTTATGAGGGTGTGCGAGGAGAAACGCATAGAGAGCCGGATGTATACAGCGATGTAAACGCGTCTGCTTGCGCCAGCTGGCGACGACTCCAAACCGCTCTGAGCAAAGGCGTCGACTCTTAGGCTCTGCTCTGCGGAGCTGGCGGAGCTGGGGGAGCTCTGGGGGAGCTCTGGGGCCTGTGGAGCTCCAGCTCCAGCTTTCGGCCGTCGTAAGGTGGAGGTCCAGTCCTCGCGGTTGCAGCAGAACGGGGCGCCAACCCCGCTCCCGCACCCGCTGACGAACTTGCGCTCGTTAACTGCCGAAGCTCGTGAATGGCCAGGAGCATCTGGTGGTAGCCCCTGCAGCGACACGGAGAGGCTTCTTCTTTTTGGCTGAAGCCTTGGGGAACATTCTCTGCATGTTCTGATGTCTCTCAGCTGGAGCACAGGATGTCGCGTCCTGCCGCCAAGTGTCGGCAAAGGAATTGGAATTCAAACCCGCATAGATTCGGCCCTCAGATCCCAACGGGAGAGGACTTCCAGTGAGATGGCTTCATCCTCCGCGCCTCTGCCGGTTGGCGTGCGCGTGCCACGCGTGCGCGGGTTGGCGTGCGCGAGTCTCGTCGGCTGGATCTGAGAAGGCAGCGGCCCAGAGCGTCCGCACAGGCCTCAGGGGCCTAGTCGCAGCTGTCTTAAAGGCAGTCGCATCCGCTCAGAATTTTTACGCGCATTCGCTCCAAAACTGGATGTTCACCCCCCGTTTTCCGGTCCTCATCGAACTCGGCTCGGCTTCGAGTTGTCCGAGCTGTCCGAGCGCTCAAGGGCGCCGACGGCTCTGCTGCCGTCTCGATCTCCCTAGTCGGCGTGCGCTGTTCATGACACCGTCCGCCCATCACCAACTCCTACAGAGGCTACCTCCTGAATGGAAGCGCGCTTGAAAGGTCTGCAGCCAGTGCCGCAGCCAGCGACCTCTGACGTGAGGCCTCCGTGCGGACCAGGCTGGGGTCTCAGCTCAAGCACAGAGGCAGAGCACCAGACCGTGTCTGAAAGCAGCAGAACCTGAGACTCTGAGACTCCGCAAGCGCAAGCCGCAAGCGGGGGGCCAGTGCTGCCCTGCGGCCAGGAGCAGCCACCTATGCCACCTGCCAAGAGCACATTGCCGTCCTCTGCTCCTTGCGGCCCCCAGGGCCCCTGCGTGCGCATCAAGCCGCCGCAGCCGCCGCTGCCCTGTGCAGATCTCAAAGCAAAGCTCGCGCCTAAAAACCATATACATCTATCTACTTATCTATCTATCTATCTAGTCGCGCATGCGCAGCTGCGCATGGCGGATAGCGCGCCGGCCTCTGAAACCGCGGAAGCTCGGCGCCGCTGCCTCAGCGTCGAAGTCGAATTCTGGCAGCATCACTCTGAAAAAAAGGGCCATCACTAGGCCTACAGGTGGGCCCTTTAGATCGCTTCCTGCTCCAAGGCCACCACGCCTCGGCGCCTAGCAGAAGCAGGCCGCAGACTGGGGGCTTGGACAAAAGCTCTTGCAGTTCTCTGAGAGTCGGGCGCAGCCGTGAGCTGTAGCGGCCAGAAAGCCCTGGCTCTGCAAAGCTCTGCAAAGTGCAAAAAAAGCTCTCCGGCCTCCAACAACCGCCCCCGGGCCGCCCGGGCCCTCGCGCCTGGTGGCACCTCTCCGAGCAGTTGAAGCACCTCCAAATCTCCAAAGTCTGCACGTCTGCAGTCTACATGCCAAAGGCCCAAAGCACCTCAGCAGAGGGGATCGGATGGTAGGCACGGCCAGCCTTAAGGAGACACTTACGAGTCTCTCCCACCAACCTCATTCGCGGGCCAGCAGCCCCCCGCCTTCCGGTGCTCCACTTCCTCCTCCCTTTCCCAGGCCTTCCGTGAGAACCGCGAAAGCTGGAGCCTTCAGCCTTCTGCTTCTGCTCAGCTCGCTGCTTCCAAGTCAGCCTCGCAGGACATCAGTTTCAAAGCAAGAATTACAAGCGGATCTTGCCCTGAGCGTCCCGCTCGACTTCGCTCGGGTTCTGAGCTGAGAAATCATTCATGTGTCACAAGCTTCCCTGACACCCCCAGGACGTACGTCCCCCGCGTCCCTGTGCGCGTCCCGCCCCACCTCGAATCCCTCTCGCATCCCACTCCGTCCGTCCCGATCCGCGTCTCTCACGAGGCCTGGCCGCGTCGTCCCTCGCGTCCAGCTTTTTTTCGACTGCGCGTCTTTCGCGAGGCAGAGCAACGACATGACACTTTCATCGTGCACGCTAAACTCCGGGAGTGTGTCGGCAGTCCGACGACTATCAGTCTGGATGAAAGATGGCAGCCAGAAGTTGTCCCGCTGTGCCTGGGTTCCCGCATCTAAAAATCACAACGCAGGCTAACAAAGGTTTTCACTTCAGTTGCACACAAATCTGCGCTTTGTCCCTGTTGCCCTCACCCAAAGTCGGGGGTCTTCATGTTCTTCTTGCTGTTGTTCTTGTCGTCATCCTCGTCGTCGTCATCTTTGCTGTTGTTATGGTTGGTGTTGGTGTTGGCTGCTGCTGCCGGCTGGTGGTTGTGGCTGTTGGTGCTGGTGTTTTTTGTGGTTGCGGTTGCGGGTGCGGTTGCGGGTACCACTGCACATGTTGCTGTTGCCGTTGGTCCGGTTGGGCCGTTGGGGTTGCTGTTGTTGTTGATGATGGCTCAGGGCCGTTGTGGATCGAGCCCCGGTTTAAAGGTGGGTGCGGGCAGTTAGCGCGCGTGGTCTAGCTCCGGAGGTCTTACCTCAGAGCCCAAACGTGTTCAATGGAATGTCTTCATGCGCAGCTGGCCCATACAATACAGGCCACACAGTTGCAAGAACATTGAACAATGCGTACGTCTACGCACTCGGGCCCAATCTATCCACGCTGTCCGGATCAATGGTCGGCAATGCCGGATAAGCAAGCAGTAGGCTTGCATGCTGGCATGGGAGCATCAATGATGGGACTAGCTTGGTCTTCTCAATCAACCACATCACACAGAGTTGCAAAGCCTTCTCAGTATTCGAGTGAATGTCATGTAAACATTTCAATGGTCCAGTCGGACTGATGTCTTCAATGGGAAGATAAAAGCCACTTGCAACCTGTTCGGATGCTTCAAACGTATTATTCGGGCGTTTCAAGCTGTCTGGCCAGCATCCTACAAATTCAGACGTGTATTCGGCTGTTCCAAACTTTCCGGCTCTCTCTCTCCTTCTCTGTCATTTTCTTTGTTTCTGCCGAGCTCAGGGGTCGTCTAGCGACCCTCAGGCCATAGGCCCGCCCGACCACCCATTGGATTATGGAGTGGCTGGCACTAATGACCGCTGCAAAAAAGGACATAATTTGTGCTGGGTGGATCCACTGCGAGCCCCCAACCCTGAACCTTATGACGGGGAGTTACCCCCCAGCCCGCGCCTAGGCGCATCCCCGTCCATCATTTTAAGCGAGGGGCTTGGCTGTACTGTTGTTCGTAGGGTCGTGTGCCCTTTTTGGTTCGCTAGCCTCCGTGGGGGCAGTTTTTCAACAGTAAGTCCTCACAACCAGTAGTCCTAAGCAACGGGTGCCTCCCAGGAGTTAGCTACCAGGGAACGAGTGCCCCTCTGAAAAAGGCGGGTGTCCCGGGGAAGTGACAAAAACATGCGACCCTCTCTCTCTCTCTCTCTCTCTCTCTTTCTCTTTGCTATGCATCCTTCATTTTCCCACACATTTCAATACTTTGCTGGCATGAGAAATGGGCCTAAAGTGCTGATTGTGCCGCTTCCTTGGAAGCGAACAGATTGCAACTAGTCGCGTGCTGTATTTCCCGGATGCAGCGCCAGCAGCAGCTGCACGGCCCGACCAGAGCAAGGTTGCCATCCTCTCTCGCTACCTGAACGAATTTGGTAACATGCCGTATGAAGCGACTGGCTTGGATTTGCACAAAGCGGTCACTCTCAACACGTACTGGACCCTGGCAGCATGTGGTGTGAAGCTTAACAAGGAGGGTCAGAAGACCACGGCGTTTGTCTACTTTTCGAAAGCCTCGTGCCCCACCTCTGCCATTGCAACAAACGTGCAGCTTGCGATTTGGGCGGTCGAAGCGTGATTCACTGTCTCGTGTGGTGTGCATTCTTTTCCTTGCATGATATCTCACGTGAACTCAGGCGGAAAGGGTGCAGGAGGATCATGATTTCCTCAACAAAGAGGCTGGCGGGCCTTTGTTGAGATGCTGAAGGCATCGATGGCAAAGGAGTGGAAAATCTTCAAGCCGCGCTCGCGATGATCTTTGTGTCGATCTCTTGCATCACCGCGACTCGACTGGATTCCCGTGACCTCGTGTTGCAGTGCAAGCATGGCTGCCCAGCAGCTACAAGCTGAGACCATTGCAAGGGGTGCCAACGAGATGATCATGTCACGCATGAGCTGTGTCAGATGTTTTTTATGTGGCTCTCGCTGCCCGGTCTGGTCGATGCACTGGTCGTCGTGGTCCCGCCTCGGTTAAGGGTTCAGACCCGGGGATCGGTTTCAGTTGTTGCAATGCAGATAGTGTTGGGTGCACTCGATCGAACGATGATTTGTGCAACTCGGATATTGCAATTGTTAGGTGCCTCGCCTTAAACACTCGACACCCTGATTGATAGCGCCGGCTGGTGCAAGATGCTTTCTGAGCGGGATATAGACATGCTGGTGTGGTGGCTTTCACGCTGAGGAGCTTACATTTCTTAGAAAAGGTAGGACATATAAGTTTTTAGAACCAGTTTGCAACCCAGTAATCAGGCCCGTATCTGGCAAAAAACTCATTCATGAACCTGTTGCAAGCTACTCACAAACAAGGAAGGCCTTGGTAGCCATCTGTGGATAGAGGTATTCTTTGTATTTCTCGAACAGCTGCTGTGTGGTATCCTTCTGCTCGGCTCGCCCGGGATGATGTGGCCCAATCATGAGAAAAGCATTTTGCATCACATTTAGCCGTAGCCTTAGCTGCTCCGGGTTAGCCAGCATAGCCTCCTTGGAGGTGGCCTGTTTGCAGTGGTCCCCTTGCTATCCCACTGCGGAGCACGAGTCTCTGGATCCATCTCGTCGCGCGATAGAACTTCGTTCAGCGGTTCTAGCTCATGGAGCTTGCGCTCGATTTCTTCTTTGACCGGAACGTGTTTATGCTCAGGCTCTCCAAACGAAGGCTTGTCCCATAGCCAAAAAGTCTGTCTGCGGGATGGTTTAGCCTACGGGAGAACATCGCAGACTTGTTTCTGGCCGGCGACATCCCAGCGAAAAGTGCGTGTGGGACGCCACGAGACTGGCACTCAGGGACCCGGCTCTTCGGAGTACGACCCACCAGACTGTGGTTCGTGAGCAATCGACGCATTGGCTTGCGCTGGGGGTGGCGGAGGTAGTCTCACCACATGCCGCCGTGAGCTTTATGCTGGCTGAGTTTCCCTATAGGAATCGCATTTGTCACACACAGACCATCACTGAGATGTTGTGAGACTGTGAGACCAGGAGACGTCACTTCCGACTCCCGACTTTCGGGATTGTTATAAATTGATGATGCACGGGTCAGAAAGGCATCGCCTGGACTGAGTATAATGCATCGCACGATGGCATGAAGGCCTACTGGTGGCCGCCGGATAATTTCGTCACAGCCATTGGGAGTGTGAACTTTGACACGGCCTCTTTCAGCCATGATTTAGGCCCTTAGCAACTTTCCATGCAGCTCTGATCTCCTGTGCAGCCGGGTGCCCGGGCAGTTACAATTCGCCCCCTATGAGCCTTGTTGTTGTTGTTGTTGTGGTTATCGTTATCGTTGTTGTTGTTGTTGTTGCTGTTGTTGTTGTCGTGGTGGTTGTGTGTTGGTGTTGCTGTTGCTGTTGGTGTTGCTGTTGTCGTTGCTGCTGTTGTTGTCGTTGCTGTGGTAGTACCGCGATGGCCTAAATTACTTTTTGAGTGGAGAGCATCCCTGGCCCAACCATGATGATGTCCAGGGTCTGAGCCGTTTAGTGTGGACCGCATCTATGGCCTAACCATCACAGTAACATACCTGGTTTAAGCCTTCATCCCTCGCGTCATTCGCGTCCCGCCCGTGTCGCCTATGCACGTCTCGCTCGGCATCCGCATCCCACTCCGCGTCCACCGCGTGTTTGACGTCCCGCGCTGCGCCCACGATCTCAGTGCACATGTGGCTGCCTCTCCAAGTAGCACGGCTGCGGGCAGTCCCTTCACAGAACCTCAGACGGCGGATATTCGCATGCTGCACTGGGCTTTCCACAAAACCCTCTCTGAGGTCCCAGAGGCTCTCCGGAAGTCACTAGCAGGAAGCTCTGGCCATCGCTTTCTGCCTTCATTTCTGAGCTTCGGCCCTGCACTCTGTCTACACTCCGAAGGGCCTCCGTGGGCGTGGCCTGCAAAAGCATATTTATATTCATCATGAGGACATGAGGACAGCGAGCGAGGGAGAAGAAAGGAGCCACGGATGTGACGGACGGGATGGGTCTCTGACCTCGTCGGAGCTCTGGCTCTCCCCAAGGGCCCGGGCCCGGGCCCGGGCCCCAAGGAGCGCCGGCGCGACTTGCGCCTGCATGCGGGTCTCTTCTTTTTGGCTGCGAAGGCTCGCTCAGGCTGCTCAGGCTGGCCTCCATCTCTCGTTCGTTGGCCAGTGGCCAGGTTGTTGAGCCCAGAGAGAGCTGCGGAGCCAAGTTCAGAGGCTTTTGGAGACTCGCGGCCCGAAGCCGAAGCACTTGGGGGTCCCTGCTGCTCTGCTCGAGGCAGTCGCGAGAGTGATTCACCTAAGACGAGGCGAGAGAGAGGGCGGAGGCGGAGGCTGCGGCGGCTGCGGCGGCTGCGGCACGACGGGCTGCGGGTGCCCCGGCGAGGAAGGGACTCGCATTGCTCGGCACGGCTCTCAGCAGCCGAAGCGCAGACCTGCGATCGAGGCGAAACCGTCAGTCAGAGCCAGAGTTTCCGCGCTCCGGCGCTCCGGCGCTGGGCTGCCGCACCCGTAGCTCTTCCACTCCACGCCACGCGCTGGTCGGCTCAGGAGCGAGGCCGAGGCCCTGGGCGCAGAGCACAAGGCACAAGGCACAAGGCACAAGCTGCCCGCCAAAAAAGGACCACTCAAGTTCTGTCGTGATCTTGGTGTGACGGGTCGTGATTTCGCAGGATCGAGGCAGAAGACTCCCCGAAAAGCTTCGGCTTGGATGCTTCTCGCCGCACAGCCACAGCCACAGCCAGCCACAGAAATTCGGCTTAGATAAAGCAGGAGTGGACTGGGACGAGTACTCGTCTTTCACATTCTTTCACATTGTATGCAGCGCAAATCTTATGCCGGCGGTGAAGACCCATGCTTCAGGCTGCAAGCAAGCGAGAGGGAGCGCGAAGCGCGTCACGCGGAATTCCTTTTCTTCCGCAGCCCAGCGCTCGCGCACGTCCTTCGTCCCAGGCCTCGCAGCAGCGTGTCAAGGCAGGCGGAAGACACGTGGAGAGGCCAGCGCTAATGCCTCGAAGCATGTTCGCCACGTGAAGGCCCTGCAGAAGTAACCTTGGCTCCGCCACAGGACGTTTCAAGGTGCGCACGCCAGGCCTGTCACTGTGTTGTTGATAGGTCGCAGCCTGGGTGCGTTGGGGGTCTGCTTGGAGCTCGGGGTGCAGCTGCCGCACCGTCAGCACCCAGCGCTCCTGTGCCGAGTGGAAACGCTCGAAGCTCGGTCATGTGCGAACACGCGCGATCAATGCGCCTCGTCCCCGTCGTGCCACACCTGTTCGGCTTTAGGGAGGGGGCCGGAAGAGAGCGACGAGCTTTGGGCACGAGCCCGGTGGTCAGAGCCGTCATCGAAGGCGAGCACCTTGCCGTCCTCGAAAGCCTGGACCTCTCCTGCCACCTCTAGGACAGAAGGCTTCCCGTCGCCCCTCACCCGTGCCCGCACCCTCCGCTGCCTCGCAGAAGGAACCGCTGCAGCCCACAAGACCTCTCACGAAGTGAAGGAACACCCTTGCGGCCTTGCGACCTTCGAGTTTGCCCTAACTCGCACCGAGCGAGAGGTTCACGGGCACGTTGCTGCCACCATTGTGCCTCGACGAGACCCCTGTGATCCCCTGTGCCTGCTGAATGCCAAGCATCCGGGGTGCCGGCAAGCGCACCTCGGCACTTCAGTGAAACTGAGCACTGCGAGTCATAGGCCGGGGGCCGTGCGCGGCTGCCTGGAGACAGGAGGAACACCTGACCGATTTCTGTGCCTTGCGTGCTTTCTTTGAAGATCTCCTTGGTGGTGCTGAGTCCGGGACGACGACTTCCTGCCAGGTGAGCACCAGGGCTATTTGTGCTGTCCGTCTAGCCCTCTAGTTATTATCCATCAAGAACTATTCTCAGAGCGGCATCCCAGAACACGCATGGCACAGTGGCGCGAGCACGATCTGCTACATCACTGCAACGGGAGTACGGTTTCGGAAATTTCGGAACGCACTTGCATGTTGCAGCAAAAGAGCACCTGTGCCCGGACAGGGGCCGCGAAACCGGGCGTGGGATAGTGCTGGTTGGGGAAAAAGGAGCAAATTCTCACGTGCTTGGAACAGTTGCTTTAAACAGGGGGGGAGAATTTGTTTTGCAATTGTTTTGTTTTGTTGGCCCCGGCGTGCGGGGGAGGGGGTGCGTGTGGGGGCGGCGGGGGCGGGGGGCTCGAGGTCCAAGTCTTTACGTACAAGTGGGCTTCGAAGCAATATACCTCTGGAAGCAACATACCGCATTGACATGGCTTGACTTAGATTGGATGTGATGCGATCTGTCATGTAAACATTGTATTATTCTATACTCTATATCTTATATTGATATTCATGCAGTATGATATGTCTATTGAAGTAAAACAAGCTGCTACATCAATAGCAAATTCCAGTTTTGGTAATACTGCAAGATATGTTACAAGTCAGTCTAACGTTTCTAAAACGACTCGTATTGCTGTATGATTATATGAATACTATATGGCCGAGGTTTTTTCGACCCCCGAAAGGGGTGCTTTCATGCCGTGATTGCCATAACGGACGGGGTGAGGGCATTAAAAAACCCCACATACCATATCAAGAATACGCAGAAACTGGCTAATCTGTTCATAGACAACTACTCTTACTTGCGGTTATCATTCTACACTAAGAAGTCAATATTGGTTTCTACTCTGCTTTGGCACAGAATAGTATGTTATACCATAAAGCCTTCCAGCAAGTTGTATACACCATATGATGTTGTATTCTGTTTGTTAATAACCTCCTTAGACAAGAATCCATGGTCCGCCTTGAGGACGAGGGGTTCAGACACGGCGACGGAAAAACTGCGTTTGGGAAGAAAAGACAAATAAAGCCTGGGCCTACAAAAATTGATCGAACCAAGAAAACCAGAAAGAAGCCAGCCGAACTCCGAACACGCCGTAGCCTCCGAGTTGTAGTGTATGTACGGCACCTCAGGAGGGCCAAGTCGGTTTTTGCATAAAACCTCGAGCCTCGAGTTGTGGGCACCAGACGTCTGCGCTTGGCAGGTGCTGCTGTAGCAGCGCTGCGGTGGAGGGCATCAGCGCCTTGGCCACGCGTCTCGGAGTTTAAAGGGGAGAGGACCTATGCTGGACCGAAGCAATTGAGTGCAGGGCACAAGCATCCTGATCATGTGCGGATGCGCTGGCTCTGAGCGTTGTTTGGCCGACGGGCCTTGTTCCATTGCCGGCCCACGTAGAGCTGCAACATGTCCTCAGTCGTCTTCGCGGTTGCCGCAACCACAGCTGCCGCTGCTGTGCTCTCCCACTGAGCACGAAGCCCATACTCCTCAAAAAGCCGCTAGTAAGTGGTTGCACATGGCTGCACAATCGATAATGCAGCACCCTGGCCTGACTGCTCAACCAGATTCGGATAGGCAGGATAGCTCACCTGCGTCAGATGGGTCACCCAGGCCAGCCAGCCCAAGCCCAGCCCCCGCGCCGATTTCTGCCGCAGCGCCAGCAACTCCTCTCCAACTCCAACAAGGACGGCACAGCTCACAGCACCAGCTGCGGCCTGCTGGATGATCGGGAAATGATCCTTCCAAAGACCCAGCTTCAGAGTCAAGTTACGCGCCTTTGCTGAACTTTGAGGGCAGAAAAGCACGTGTGTCATCAGCACGTCAGGGAGGCCGGTTAGACTCTCTAGCGAAGAAATGTCACCGTCACTGCCAGTGATCCCCAGAGACCTCCACCTGTGGAAACACCGCACAACTACATCGACCTACGTCTGTGTTCTCCACCCCCACTTCAGGGCGGGTACAGTAACAACACAGAAGAACCCAGAGGGTCTGTTGAGCGGCGCAAGCAATTGTGCAGTCCAGGCCGAGGCTGGATCATCTTCCGGCTTGTTTGCGTGAACATCGGAGGAGCGCCTGACGGCCTGACGAGCGCCGCAGCCACTTTGCCAGGGAAAAACCCTTCTCAGCGCCAGGAGAGCGCTGGCTCACAGGCCTGGAGGCTCCGTGCGCAGGGACTTTTCTCTGGCGGATTTGCGGGCGTTTCGCTTCAGGATTTGTGCATTGCGCAACCCTAGATTGCACGCGGCGGCCGCGAGGTCTACGAGGAAAAACTCTCAACCGTTAGAGAGATGGATACGAGCAAGAGAGGGGAGTCGTTGTCTCCGCAGCCCAGTGTTCGAGATAGAGGGGATCCCGACATTGCTCGAGATCGAGCAGGTGCTGAGTTTGAAACTCGGCAAGGCAGCAGGGCCGGAAGGGACGGTCTTACTGCGGAGGCGTTAAGGCTGGATGCCTCTGGTACCGCCCTGTCGCTCTTCCCTCTTTGCTTGACCTCCCTTGGTGTCAGTATTCGCGTGGGGGCTCCCTGATGACGTTGGCCAGAAAGGCCGGCGCAGCGCTTGACTGTGCTGCTTTCCGATCTAGCCCACAGAATCCTCTGACGCCGACTCGTTCCGGCGTTTATATCATGCCAAAAGTAGGAGTCGAGAACGCCAGCCTCTTTGCCCGCACCGGAGGCCTGGAGTCAGAGAAGGGCATTTTTCGACCTGCGCACTTCGGGTCATCCGACAGAGTTCGCTTTTGCCCGACCTGGGAGTGCCAGACGATTCAGTGTCAGAATTGGTGGGGCATCTCACCACTTCTGTGTTGCAGGACGCCAAAGTTTTCCGAGGTCAATGTGGCGAAGGTAGCCGATTTCTTTCAGGGGGTCGTGGTTTCGACTGCAACACAATTCGGTGCTTTTCCTGACAAGGCGAGGGTCGCGTCCCGGAGACCCACTCGCGGGCTTGTTGTTTGCTTTTTCGTTTGCAGCGCTGTGTAAAGCCATTGAAGCTCGCCTTGCGGCGACAGGGGTTCGGACCTACATGCCACAGGTCCGGAACGCTCCACCGTGGCACTCGTGGATGCCGGCGGAAACAGCCGGCTTACCGGCATGGGCTTGCAGTCCCACCCTCAAGCAGTGGAACTGTGTCGCACGGTGGTGACAGCACTGTCGTTGCAGCGTGTGCTATTTCAGCCGGTGTGGTACTCGCGTACGGCGAGGACAGGACGGAAGTGCTACTTTCAGCGGACTGCCCACGGCTGTGGAGCGGCCTCTGCGGACAGCTGACAGGAGCACAGCTTTGCAGTTCTGCGTCAGGAGCTACCTCTCCACTCCTCGCCGTGCCCGAGTGCAGCATGGGCCTGCCACATTGCTGCATCTACTCTTTATTCACTGGCAGGATTCTCCTGCAACCTCCTTGCAAGCAGTCAGTGCCCTTGTACCTGCGGTTCGTACAGTGCTTGAAACCCTTTCAGCATGAGCCGAGTTGGTGGCCAAGGCAAATCAAATACGCAATAGCTGCGTATGCTAAGGAGTTGGATTTATGCGCAGAGCAGTCTCCAACAAAAGACCGGGGGGACAGATCGGCAGCGCCGACTGGCTCTAGACCTGCCAGTACTGTCAGGCACGTTTCAAGTTGCATAAGCACATGGGTGTGCACACGGCACGCAAACATGGCGTGCTAAGTCCGGTACGCCATTACTCTCCGCACGCATGCTGCATGGCTTGCTTAAGGTGGTATCACACAGTGTTACGTGTGC